GTTGGTGTTGTTGCTGCTGCTGTTGTTGTTGTTGGTGTTGTTCTTGTTCGTTTATGTGTTTGCTTGTGTGTTAGTTTGTTGTTGTTGTTGTTGTTGTTGTTGTTGTTGTTGATGTGTGTGTTTGTGTGTGTGTTTGTTTGTTTGTTGTTGGTGGTGTTGCTGGTGTTATTAGTGGTGTTGTTGATGTTGTTCGGCGTCGTCCCCCCGCGACCCACCCACGACCCACCCCGCGACCCACCCCGCGACCCGCCCGCGACACGCCCGCGACCCACCCGCGACCCAGCCCGCGACCCACCCGCGACCCACCCAGCAACCCACTCAAATTGCTTTAACGAAGAGTCGGCGCTTGCGGTGGGCTCATTGTACGACTTGTAAGAATTAGGCGCCTGCGGCGGGCTTCTTCAGAGCCTCGCAGACTGCCGACGTCCACGCCGCCCCCTCACTCTTGTCCGCGACTGTGGGGTGCTACGTATACACTGCGTATCGGCCGCCAATTGCCACAAAGTGGTGGACAAGAACAACATAGTGTAGTGGACATGTTCCTGACCCCGATCATCCTCTCGGACAAGCTTCGATGCGACCGCTGGCACGGGCGAAGTGCAAGGAAACGCTGTGTATTATTGGTTTCTCTGGTTTCTTTGGTCTAGGATGGAAGGAAACACTGTGCTTTCGTTTTTGGTTTTGGAAGCCCGAGTGCTCCCCGCGGCCTCCCCCCCCAGCACCTCCTCCTCCTCGCCCATCATCCTTCTCCTCCTCCTTTCCGTTTCCTCTCTCTGTAGCACCGCAAAACCAAGAATACACAGTGCTTGGCGCCCTCGGTGCAAGGAAGCGCTGTGTATTATTGGTTTTGTTGGCTTCTTTGGTCTAGGATGAAAGGAAACAGTGTATTTGTTTGTGTTCTTTTCTTTTTGGTTTGGAAGCTCGAGTGCTCCCCGCGGCCTCCCCCCCAGCACCTCCTCCTTCTCCCCCTTCCTCTTTCCCCCTCCTTCTCCTCGTTTCCTTTCCTCCTCCTTGTTGCAAGGCAAGAGAACCAAGAATACACAGTGTTTGGCACCCTCGGTACAAGGAAACGCTGTATTTTTGGTTTGTCTGGTTCTGTTGGTCTAAGATGGAAGGAAACACAGTGTCTTGTTTTTTTGGGGGGGGCTGGAGCTCCGGAAGAGAATGAGGAGGTGCTGGGGAGGAGGCCGCGGGGAGCACACAAGCTTCCAAAACCAAACAAAAGGCAAACATACACAGTGTTTCGTTTCATCCTAGACCCCCCCCCCCAACAAAAAAAAAGACACAGAGTTTCCTTGCACAGAGGGCGCCAAACACTGTTTATTCTTGGTTCTCTTGCTTTGCAACAAGGAGGAGGACAGGAAAGGAGGAGAAGGAGGTGGAAAGAGCCCAAAAATACACAGCGTTTCCTTGCACCGAGGGCGCCAAACACTGTGTATTCTTGGTTTTGCGTTGCTACAGAGAGGAGGAAACGGACAGGAGGAGGCGGATAAGGAGGAGGAGGAGCTTGGTTTGGAGAAGGAGGAGAGGGAGAGGAGAGGAGGAGAGAGGAGGGAGGAGGACGAGGGGTGAGGGGTGAGGAGGAGAGAAGCGAGAAAGGGGGAGCAGGAGGAAGATGTGATGAATACAATTCAAGATGTGATGTATGATCTTGGAGGGGGAACCATATATATATGTATGTATACATATATGTACATATGCATACATACATGCATGCATGCATGCATGCATACATACACACAAACATGCATGCATACATATATATATACACATGCCTACATGCACGTATACACACTGACACACACATGCACAAACTTACATCAATACATGCATATAAAACCAGCTACCTATCTATCTACCTAGATGCATACATACATACAGACGGCAAGGCATACATACAACCATACTTACACATACATGCATGCATACATACATGCATGAATGCATGCATGCACACATACGTTCACAAACAGACAGACAGACAGACAGACAGACAGACAGACAGACAGACAACAGACAGACACACACACACACACATGCAGACACATGCATACATACATACATACGTAACTACGAACAAATACACAAACACATAAATACATACATGCATAGAGACATGCATACAGAGAGACAGACAGCCAGACAGACAGACAGACATACAGACAGGCAGACATGTATATATATATATAGAGATATGTTTACATGTATGTATAATATACATATACATATATATATATATGTGTGTGTCCGCCGACCTGGTCGGCGTGTGTGAGAGGCTCTTCGACGCGAGGCCAGCCCAATCCACACTGAAGTAAACCTCCTTTGAACCATCGTCGTCGTAAGGGAGATCAAACACAGAAGTGGGATCGAAGAATTTCGCACAAATGCGTCGAAACCTTTTCTTTTTGTCCCTTCCCCGGGGGGGGGTGATCCCGGGGGCCTCGCGGGGGGGGGCCCGTGGGAGGGGGTCCCGGGGAGGTCCCGGAAGAGGGTCCCGGGAGGGATCCCGTGACCCCCACCGCGGGCGGTCCTCCCTGTGGAGGAGGACAGGGGAGTGGTCTCCCTGTCAGCAGGAGACCTAAAAACCCCTCCCCCGCCCCCGGCGGCCCCAAACCCGGCCCGAGACCCTGTGCCTGGCCCCGGCCCAGGCCCCAGATCCAGCCCGCCCCCCAGGAGACAGACGGCTCTTCTCCTTCTCCACGCCGTGCCCTTGTAAATAACTTTTCCCTGTCGCACCCCGAGGCCTGTTTTATAAATGTGGCCGGGCGTTTCGCCTGAAGCCTAAACATTGGCAACACTGTCACAGATGGAGGGCGGGTGGTTTTCAAAATGTGGCTCTCGCCGCATACTCGTTTTAAACATTTGCAAGAGTTTCACCGGTTGAAGGCGGGTCGTTTTCAAAATGTGGCTCTCACCTTGGCGCCGCGCTCACTCGTTAAAAAATGCAAGAGCTTCACGGATTGAGGGCGGGCCGTTTCAAAAATATGGCTCTCGCCTTAGCGCCGCGCCCATTCGTTTTAAACATTTGCCAGGATTTCACGGATTGAGGGCGGGCCGTTTTCAAGATGTAGCTACCGCCTTGGCGCCGCGTGCATTCGTTTTAAAGAGTTTGCAAAAAAATCGCGGATTGAGGGCGGTTCTTTTTCAGAATGTGGCTCTCGCCTCAACGCCGCGCACATTCGTTCTGATAAGTTGCAAGAGTTTCACGGGTTCCCATGATTAACGTACCAGAAATGGAATTCTGCAAGGATTCAGAACTAGGACGGTGCAACAGTTACGTTCGTTCGCGGTGTTGAAGTCCATGAATGCAGTTATTGCGCGATTCTGGGTCGTCAAGACGCAACAGCGAAGTTAGATCCGTGGAGTTGGAATCTCGCGAATAGCGTTGTGACATGCTTCAAGGTCTTCAAAAAGTTGTCTTCCAATGAGGCAGCTCCCTCAGTGGAAATGAACCGTTGCAGGGGCCTATGAAGAGGGAGCTTGGAGAGAAGGTAAATTCCCACATCGTTGATGACTCTTGGGTTTACACTGGTCCTTCTCCTCCCCCTCCTCATCATCATCATCATCCGCATTATCATCCTCCTCCTTCTCCTCCTCCTCCTCCTCCCTCCCCCCTCGCCCTCCCCCTCACCCTCCCCCTCCCCCTTCCCCCTCTTCTTCTTCCTCCTCCTCCTCCTTCTCCTCCTCCGTCTCCTCCGCCTCCTCCTCCATCTCATCCGCGTCCTCCTCCTCCTCGTCCCCTGTCCTCGTCCTCGTCATCCTCCTCCTCCTCGCTCTACCGCCGGCCCCATGTCCCGAGTCTGCCAAGGTCATCAGCTCGTCATTCTCGTTGCCGTCGTGGTGGTCGTCGTCGTCCTTCTGGGTCGGCGTCGCCGGTCGTAAGACCTTCACAGCATATATATATATATATATAGAAACAACAAATACATCTACACATACACACATATACATATACACATACACACAAGCCACCGCCGTGTCTTCGGCGCCTGCTGGAGTGCCCCAAGGCTCATGCAGTTCTGCGAGGTTGAGGGCTGGTGGTTCTGACAGGTTCTTCACGGCCCGGGCCCCCAGTTTCCCAGGCGGTCCCGGGGGGGGGACGCCCAGAGAGCCCCAAGACGCGCCATGAGGAGCCGACTAAGAGGCCCCAAAGACAGCCGAAGAGTGTCCCGAGTCGTCGAACGATCGGTTCAAGACGCCCAAGATGGCCGCCAGACAGCCGAAGATGTCCCCAAGACGCTCCAAGAGGCCTACCAGGAGGCCCAACTCATTGATGTTCCTCCAGTGTTTGATAGAGTTCGGCGTCCTTGCCTCCTCGGCTTCCCGACGCTCCAAGACGGCCCAAGAGGCCCCCCCAAATCGCCTTAAGACGGCCCAAGACAGCCCAGGAGGCCCCCAGGAGGGTCCCGAAACGGCTCAAGATGGCCCCAAAACGGCCCAGGACGGCCCCTGAGGCCACCAAGACGGCTCCAAGAGGGGACGGGGGACCCGAATGGACAATTTGGAACTCTCGGCCCAGGGAGGCCCCCAGGAAACCCCAAGATGCCCCCAAGAGGCCGCCAGGAGCCTCCAAGAGGCTCCCAACAAGGAGCCCTGAGAGACCCCCAAGAGGCTCCCGAGAGGCCCCCCGAGGCTCCCAAGAAGCCCCAAAACTGCCCCCAAGAGGCCCCCGAGAACGCTCCCGAAAGACCCCAAGACGCATCCCCGAGGACTCTGACCCGCAAACCAGGCACGGTGGCGGAATGGGCATTAGATAGACTCTGTGCCATTATGTGTGCCCTTCACGAGACGATTGCGGCGGGGATCTGCGAGTTTCACGGTTTTGACCAGACCCAAGGCCAACACGCAATTTAAAGTACGTCGAGTTCGGGCCTCCAAGGCCAGAACCCCTCGTACATCACAGCGCGTTCGCGGGCCCGAGGCCGCATCCCCTCATTGACTATCACAAACGCGCGTGGCCAGCCAGCCAGCAGGCAGCCCAAACCAGATGCCAACCACCTGCTCGGACAAGAAACCAACCAAATTGCCAGCCATTGGACCGTCGGCTACACGCAAGAGCGACCCTGGGTAAGAGTGACCTTTGGTGCGCGGCTCTTTGGGGGCCGCGGGGGGACCAAACCTGGGCGCGCACGCCACTGCTACCGCTCCGTCTTCAGCCACATGAGGGCCCATCTGTGCCGGCACCAAAGGTCACCCTGGCGAAAGGTCACTCTGACGTCTCGTCGAACCGTCAGCGCCACAAACACCGACCGATCAAGGCGCGGCCACGCAGGCACTCGCGGCAAGTTCGTGTCCCGACGACCCCGGCAGCGCTTCTTCCACCCCGAGCGAGCGGCGGCCTCCGATACAGCCGGATGGTCGCCAGATCGTGCCACGTCCTCCTCCTCCTCCTCCTCCCTCCTCCTCCTCCTCCTCCTCCTCCTCCTCCTCCTCCTCCTCTTCATCATTCTCATCCTCCTCCCTCTCCTCCACCTCCTCTTCCTCCCTCCCCCCTCGTCCTCCCCCCGGCCCTCCCCCTCTCCCCCTCCCCCTTCTTCTTCTTCCTCCTCCTCCTCCTCCTCCTCCTCCTCCGATGTAGCCTGATGGTTGCCAGATCGTTCCACGTCCTCCTCCTCCTCCTCCTCCTCCTCCTCCTCCTCCTCTCCCATGGGAGATGGGGCGTTCAGCCTTGACGGCCCGCCGCGGGGTCGCGGCGCGTCGACACGACGCGATCCTGTGAGCGTTGTTTCACCGATCCCCGTCCCAAGTGGCGTGGCCGGGGCCCCACTGGCCGTTCTGCCCCCCCTCTGACGGGGACGTGCGCCGTTCCCTTCGGGCCTCGAGCGGCGTATTCCCAGCTGGGGGGTTGGGATGGTGGGCATCGGGATGGGTATAGAGATAGGGATCGGGGAAGCGATGCTGACCTTAGGTCGGGCATGTCCTTCTACAGGTCCTCCTCCTCCTCCTCCTCCTCCTCCTCCTCCTCCTCCTCCTCCTTATCCTCCTTATCCTCCTCCTTTTCCTCCTCCTCCTCCACCTCCTCCTCCTCCGCCTCCTCAGAGGGGGCCGGCAGCAGAGGGCGGAGCCCTTCGGGTTCCGGCCGGACGCTCCGCGCTCCCCGACCACCCCGAGCACCAGAGCATGCGGGCGGCGGCCTCGGCGGCGACAACGGCGCGCAGCGCCTGCGGGAGCCGCCGCCGCGGCCACCGCCGCGGCGGCCTTCTCGCCCTACTGTGTGCCGTCCTCCCTTTCCGTGCACATCCCAGTCCTCCGCCTCCCGCTCCCACTCCTCCTCCTCCTCCTCCTCCTCCTCCTCCTCCTCCTCCTCCTCCTCCTCCTCATCATCATCATCATCATCATCATCATCATCATCCTCCCCTCCTCCTCCTCCTCCTCCTCTCCTCCTCATCATCATCATCATCATCATCACCATCACCATCACATCACATCACCATCATCATCATCCATCATCATCATCCTCATCTCAGCATCATCATCATCATCATCATCATCATCATCATCATCATCATCATCATCATCCTTCCCCTCCTCCTCCTCCTCCTCCTCTCCTCCTCCTCCTCCCCCCTCCTCCTCCTCTCCTCCTCCTCCTCCCTCCTCCTCCTCCTCCTCCTCCTCTCTCCTCCTCCTCCTCCTCCTCCTCCTCCTCCTCCCCCACCTCCTCCTCCTTCTCCTCCTCCTTCTACTCCTCCTCCTCCTCCTCCTCCTCCTGCTACCCCTGCTTGAAGGAACCGTGGCGAGGAATGAAGGCACACTGCGTCAAGACTTGCACTCCCTGACGATCAGGTTTTCCAGCGCCCCTGGGGTCGGCGACATCGTTTGCGTTTGAGCACCCCATGCTGCGTACAAAGCACCTCGCGGATGGCACACGAAGTGGCGCTAATCTCCTGGCAACTCGTTGAAGCTGACTTCCTCCTACGCCCCCCTGGAGAGGTCATGCAACGTGTTCTCCGATTTCTGCCCCTCGGAGCCCCGATCTCAGTGTCGAATCAGCTGCGGCCGACGGCGGACAGATCGGATCGCGCGGCGCCCGCGCGGATGTTTGAACTTGAGCGGGGGGACGGACCGCGCGCGAGAGTTGCATTACTTCTCCAAGTTAATCTTGAAGGGGCCCTGGGACACACAAATAAATGCACACAAATAAAACAGATCCCCCTATATTTTCCCATAGTTTCTGGGTTTCTGTCTTCCCCCCCACTGCCCATATTTTCCCATATTTTCTGGGGAATTTGACGATTAATAGTGTCTGTGTGTTTTCCCCTCCTGAAATCCGAAACCACAGTGAAGCGCCGCATCGTGAACCGACCATGTGAAGCAGCAACTCGCCAGGCAGACCGGGAATGCAACGCGCGCCGACCTGCAATCTGCAAGCGCTCGCGTTGAACCAAGGTCTGCTGAAAGGTGGAAAGGTATGGGCCGCCAGTCACTGGATAACTGGATGATACTCGTGCATATTAGGTAACAGCTCCTAGGAAATCATCGTAGGAACGATTCACGGCGATCAAGACCGATTCAGGGGTCACTGAGCCGGTTCGGCCGGATTAAGCCAGGGATTAAGCCAGGGTCTAAGCGGGACTGCACCGGATTAACTGGGACTAAGACGGATCAAGCGAGATTCTGCCAAGTTCGGCCGGCTTTCGACCACGGATATACCAGCGCCGATGCCGAATTGTAACTTCCAGGAGCTGCCACATCATGCGTAAATGCTCCGAAGCCTTGGTGTGTGGAAGGCTGATGCCGGCATCCAAGAGGATCACAAGCAAGCCACACATTTAGGAGGCAACTACTGGGAGGTTTTCGTTGGGAGGATGAAGGAGGAATAAGCCCCATTGGGGGGCTGTTACGCCAGAGTGGGCCTCGGATCAAGCAGGATCAAGCCGGATAAAGCGGGATTAAGCGGGGTTGAGCCGGATTCAGCAGGAGTAAACGGGATTTAGCGGGATGAAGCGGGATTTCGGACCAGGGCTAAATCAGAACTTGACCTCCCAGGAGTGGCATCCGAGACACATGAGCGCCCCCGATCTCGAGACGGCCTGGTGCTCGAGCCATGAATGAAGGGGCCCCAGGACACACAAATAAATACACTCAAATAAACATATTTTCCCAAATTTGGGGGGGAGGGTCGTCCCCCCCCCCCACTTCCCATATTTTCCCGTATTTTCTGGGGAATCGACGATTAATTGTGTGTTTTTCCCTCCTGAATGAAGTGGGGCTGCATACGTGGCGCGTCGTGCGTGGGCCAGGTCTCCGCGGCCAGTCGGCTCTGGCGGAGGGGGTCCGGGAAGGCCGTGCCGGTTGCGCGGAGAGCGAGAGCGCCCTCGGGCGCAGCATGTCCCCGAGCGCAGAGCCCCACCGCCGGGGTGGTGGGACTTGCCATCGCTCGGGCGTCCATTCCTCGTGCAAATCTTCGGTGTTGTGCGTGCTTTTTTCTCGCCAAATCATCCAGGATGCTCCGCCATGGTCCTCGCCGAGGAAGAAAGATGCACACGTCCGAGCGATGCCAAGAGGACGGCGCGGAGAAACTTTCAGGGCACGTGGAGTATGAGACTCGTGCTGCGAGAGCAAGCGGGTTGAGTACACCCCGTCGGCGGAGCAGGTGCTCCACGCGAAAGATCGGTGGGTAAGCTTTCGACGAAAGCATATTCACCAACATGAGCCTTGTGGAGACGAACCTCTTCCGCCGCAGTCGGACCCCATGTTGTAAGATAGTATGGGGGGAAAAAGGGGGCCACGTTCATAGGGTCAACCAAACCCTAGGAACGTCTTTTTAGAACAACTCCACGTGAATCCTTCTCCCCTGTCTCCCTGCATAAGTTTGTTTGGGTGCCTCCTGCACCTGTCAGGCATCCTGCTTCTCCCATCAAAGCGCCCTCGGAGGTCCAGACTGGAGCTCTCACGTCGACTCTGGCCATACTCCAGGCCAGGCTGCATACTTCTCAACTCCTGGCGCTCGCCTACCCAATCCCCATTGGAGGTACATCTTCGAACGGTGGCAACATGACCATAAAATCTCGCTTTGGCTCACTGGCTGGCAGTCTTGATTGCTTGGACTCCCCCCGCGACTTGTGGCTGGAGCAGGCGACGCTGGCGCGGCCCGGGGAGCGACCCCTGGGGGCCGACTGGGCCTACGTCCACGCGCGACGCTGGCGCGTGCACCAAGAGTTCTGCCGCGTGCGAACGATTCCACTATCCGTCAGCAGCCCAAGCACAGCAGGAGACCCAAGCCAGCAGCCTCAGCAGAGCTACGGCCATCTCAAGGGGCCCTGGGGCGCACAGATGAATACACACAGATAGCAGAATTCCCCATCTTTTCCATATGTGTTCTGGATGATGTCTTCCCCCCACTTCCCATATTTTCCCATCTTTTCCCATAGATTCGAGGGGATCGACGATTCATTGTGTCTCTGTGCTTTTTCCCTCCTGGCCATCCTGCCGTCGAGAGGCACGCGGAGCAAGGAACGAGGGGGCCCGTCACGGCCACAGCGAGCCCCGGCCACGAAGAGGCTCCGCACCCTAACACCAGGTCGGGCGTGTGCTCCTACAGGCGGATGCTGGCACTTTTTGGATTCGCGGCCCGCAAGGAGAAGTCCAGAGGGCGGTAAGACCGAGGCTGGGGCACAGCGCAGGATAATTGGCGCGAGAACGCGCGAAATGCACCTGCAAAACAAATTAGGAAGAGGGGCGGCCACAATTGGGCAACCACCGAACACAGGCCGGACCCGCAGGTGGGGCGGATTCTGGCACTCGCAGCTCACACACATATTCCCAAAACAGCCAAAGGTACTCGAAAACATCGCCCCCCATGTGATCTGTTAAACCTATTGCTGAATGCTCCTCCTGTAGAGGGGGATGCCCAGCTTTAGCCCTAGCACTCGCAACTCACAAAAAGATCCCAAAACAGCCAAACGTACTCGAAAACATCGCCCCCCATGTGATCTGTTAAACCTATTGTTGAATGCTCCTCCTGTAGAGGGGGATGCCCAGCTTTAGCCCTAGCACTCGCAACTCACAAAAAGATCCCAAAACAGCCAAAGGTACTCGAAAACATCGCCCCCCATGTGATCTGTTAAACCTATTGCTGAATGCTCCTCCTGTAGAGGGGGATGCCCAGCTTTAGCCCTAGCACTCGCAACTCACAAAAAGATCCCAAAACAGCCAAACGTACTCGAAAACATCGCCCCCATGTGATCTGTTAAACCTATTGCTGAATGCTCCTCCTGTAGAGGGGGATGCCCAGCTTTAGCCCTAGCACTCGCAACTCACAAAAAGATCCCAAAACAGCCAAACGTACTCGAAAACATCGCCCCCCATGTGATCTGTTAAACCTATTGCTGAATGCTCCTCCTGTAGAGGGGGATGCCCTGCTTTAGCCCTAGCGCTCGCAACTCACAAAAAGATCCCAAAACTGCCAAACGTACTCGAAAACATCGCCCCCATGTGATCTGTTAAGGCTATTGCTAAATGTTCCTCCTGTAGAGGGCGATGCCCAGCTTTAGCCCTAGTATCCGAGGAGCGGCCCGAAGGCTGTCCTTATTTCAGCGCCCTGACCCGTCCCTGGTGCGCCTCCTGCCGGGGCAGCCTCAGGCCTGAGCCAGCGGGCGGCCAGGGCGGCCCGAGCAGGTGCGACTCTGAAGGGGCCCTGGGACACACACATAAAAATAGAAACAAATCCCAGGATTCCCCATACTTTCCCACGTTTTCTAAATTTGTGTCTCCCCCCCACGTCCCATAGTTTCCCATGTTTTCGGGGCTTTTGCTTTCCCCCCCCACTTCCAATATTTTCCTACACTTTCTGGGCTTCTGCCTTCCCCCCCAGTTCCCATACCTTCCCATAATTTCTGGGGAGTCGACGATGAACTGTACAGTCGGGACGTTGACCTAAGGAACCCTAAATAGGGATCGAGGCCCCTTTTTCCCATCAGTGAAGGCTCGATGTCCCATCGAAAACCTAAGGAAAACCTGGGGCAGGATGTGAGACAATCAAGGAACACGGAGCCCCTCCCCAACGAAAAGGGTTCCTTCTTCAGTGCCCCGACTATTTTTTCCCACACTTTCTGGGTTTTTGCCTTCCCCCCCACTTCCCATATCTTCCCATAATTTCTGAGGGGTCGACGATGAGATGTGACTCCCCCCCACTTCCCATATTTTCCTACATTTTCTGGGCTTTTGCCTTCCCCCCATAGTTTCCCATATTTTCTGGGGAGTCGACGATGAGCTGTGTCCGTCTGTTTCCGCTCCCTCCTGGGACGCACCCGACGGCGCCCCTGCGCCGCCCGACCCGCGGCCCCCACTGGCGCCCGCCGGACCCCCGACGGGACGGGGAGGGCACAGAGACCAAGCCGGGCCTGTCCCCCTGCAGGCCGATGCTGGCAGAAAAATTAAACATAGTCGAACAATGTCCTAAGATACCCCCAAGTGGTCAGAAAATCGTCCCCAGACTATTTTTTGACTACTTTTGAATGCTCCTCCTGTAGAGGGACAGGCCCGACTTTTTGGACGCCCGAAATGGGTACGGAAAGAATGGGTACAATGCCCAACAACAAATGTCGTCCCAAACCATCAGCGGCCGCTGTTGGGCAGGCGGCCTTCTGTCTCGAATGAACACAGGCCGCGGCGGCGTGGACAGCGAGACCTGTTCAAAATGAACAAGATCCGCTGTTGGGCATTGTTGAAGGGGAATTGGGACACACAAATAAATACACACAAATAAAAATATCCCCCATATTTTCCCATATTTTCTGGGTTTTTGTCTTCCCCCCCACTTCCCATATTTTCCCACATTTTCTGGGAATCGTTGATTTATTGTGTCTGTGTGTTTTGTCCCCTCCTGAACTGTACCCATTCTTTCCGTGCCCATTTCGTTCGTGCAGAGACTTAACACAAAGACGGCCTCCGCGTCGGCGACGGCACCGGCGACCGCGCCGCCCACCCAGCCGCAGCGCCGCAGAGGGGCGGACCCCTCGACGGCGCGGCGTGGAGCCTCGCCCCGCCCAGGCCGGCCTCGGAGGCCCTGGCCCCCCCCCCGCACTGGCGTCGCCGGGGTTGAGCAGGGACGGACCGTCCCGGCATTCCCATAGTCATACCACGACATGTTCTTCGAACCCGAAAATGCTCTAAGAGCAAAAACAATGTTCTTAGAACACAGACCCGATGTGTGAAGACGGAGACGGTCCCGGTCAGAAACGTTCTGAGAATATATATTCCGTGCAAACCACGACAGGCTCTTAGCACATTCTTCGGTGGGGCTGTAGGCGAGCCAGGACGCTTCGCCATTGCTTGACGGGGGGGAGGGGCGCCTCCTCCTCCTCCTGCTCCTCCACCTCCTCCTCCTCCTCCACCTCCTCCTCCTCCTCCTCCTCCTCCTCCTCCTCCTCCTCCTCCCCCTCCTCCCTTCCCCCCCCCTTTTCCCCCGTTTCCCCCTCCTCCTCCTCCTCCTCCTCCTCCTCCTCCTCCTCCTCCTCCTCCTCCTCCTGCCCGGCTTCCCCGTCGGCGAACGCCCTCGTGCCACCACGGGGTGGCCTCTCCTTCCGCCGGGCTCGTCCGCCGACGGCGAGGGAGCAGCCGCTCCGACCGCCGGAGGACGAGGAGGCGCGTGGACCGCCCTCGCTCCTTCCCCTCCGCATCCCCCCGCCCCCCCAAGAGCCCAGAACCTCGACGTCGCCTTTTGGAAGGGGCCCTGGGACACACAAATAAATACACACAAATAAAAATAATAGCGCAGCCCCCCCCCCAGCGCCCATTGATTTTGCATCGGTCGTTGACCTCAACTTCTGAGAGAGAGAGAGAGAGAGAGAGAGAGAGGGAGAGTTGAGGGAGCAGCGATCGCTGTGGAATCACAAGATTAGCGACGTCAGGGGTCGCCAAACCCTGTGTTTTCATTGGGTGTTTTGGGATTTCTGGGATGAGAATCAAGGAAACCATGTGTTTTCATTGGGATGTTTGGGATCTTCGGGATTTCTCTAAGGTTCTGAAGCTTCGGAGGCTCCTGGGGCGTTATTCTCTGGAAAGAGAAAATCACAAAAATCCCAAAAATCCAAATGAAAACGCATGGTTTCCTTGATTCTCATCCCAGAAATCAAAAAAACAAAATCAAAATGAAAACGCAGGGTTTGGCGACCCATGACGACGCTAACCCTGTGATTCCACAGCGATCGCTGCTCCCTCAACTCTCTCTCTCTCTCTCTCTCTCTCTCTCTCTCTCTCTCTCTCTCCACCATTCTCTACCTCTCCCTCAGTCTCTCTGTGTGTCCTTCTCTGTGTCCCTCTCCTTTGTCGCTCTTGCTCTTTCTCCCCCTCCTTCTCCTCCTCCTGGCCCAGCTCCTCCTCCTCCTCCTCCTCCTCCTCCTTCTCCTCGTCGTCCTCCTCCTCTTCTGAAGCGCACAGGTGGGGGGAGAGAGAGAGAGAGAGAAAGAGAGAGAGAGGGAGGGAGAGTTGAGGGAGCAGCGATCGCTGTGGAATCACAGGATTAGCGACGTCAGGGGTCGCCAAACCCTGTGTTTTCATTGGGATGTTTGGGATTTCTGGGATGGGAATCAAGGAAACCATGTGTTTTCATTTGGATGTTTTGGGATGTTTTGGATTTCTAAGGTTCTGAAGCTTCGGAGGCTCCTGGGTTGTTATTCTCTGGAAAGAGAAAATCACAAACATCAAAAAAAAAAAAACAATGAAAACGCATGGTTTCCTTGATTCCCATCCCAGAAAATCCACAAACAAACAATGAAAACACAGGGTTTGGCGACCCATGACGACGCTAACCCTGTGATTCCACAGCGATCGCTGCTCCCTCAACTCTCTCTCTCTCTCTCTCTCTCCACCTTTCTCTACCTCTCCCTCAGTCTCTCTGTGTGTCCTTCTCTGTGTCCCTCTCCTTTGTCGCTCTTGCTCTTTCTCCCCCTCTTTCTCCTCCTCCTGGCCCAGCTCCTCCTCCTCCTCCTCCTCCTCCTCCTCCTCCTCCTCCTCCTTCTCCTCGTCGTCCTCCTCTTCTTCTGAAGCGCACAGGTGGGGGGGGAGAGAGAGAGAGAGAGAGAGAGAGAGGAGGGAGAGTTGAGGGAGCAGCGATCGCTGTGGAATCACATGATTAGCGACGTCAGGGGTCGCCAAACCCTGTGTTTTCATTAGGATGTTTGGGATTACTGGGATGATAATCAAGGAAACCATGTGTTTTCATTGGGATGTTTGGGATTTCTGGGATTTCTAAGGTTCTGAAGCTTCGGAGGCTCCTGGGGCGTTATTCTCTGGAAAGAGAAAATCACAAAAATCCAAAAAATCAAAACGAAAACACATGGTTTCCTTGATTCTCATCCCAGAAATCCCACAAATCCCAATGAAAACACAAGGTTTGGCGACCCCTGACGACGCTAACCCTGTGATTCCACAGGGATCGCTGCTCCCTCAACTCTCTCTCTCTCTCCACCTTTCTCTACCTCTCCCTCAGTCTCTCTCTGTGTCCCTCTCTGTGTTCCTCTCTCTGTCGCTCTTGCTCTTCCTCCCCCTCCTCCTTCTCCTCCTCCAGCTCCTCCTCCTCCTCCTCATCCTCCTCCTTCTCCTCGTCGTCCTCCTCTTCTTCTGAAGCGCACAGGGGGGGAGAGAGAGAGAGAGAGAGGGAGAGGGAGAGGGAGAGAGAGAGAGGAGGAAAGGAAGAGGAGCGTATAACATCGCCAAAACACCAGAGTCCAAGAATGGGCGCTGGGGGGGGGGCTGTCCAAATATTCCCCATATTTTCTATATTTTCTGGGTTTTTGTCTTCCCCACCACTTCCCATATTTTCCCATATTTTCTGGGGGATCGAGGATTAATTGTGTCTGTGTGTTTCTTTTCCTCCTGACTTTTTCAGGTGCCCCCCTCCGAATGTGAGCCTTGTTGTTCTCATCCAGGGCACTGCGACCGCTGCCCCCCAAAACTCTCGGCCTTGCCACTGTGGGACAGGATCCCCCGAGGCCCCTCCAGGGGCCTCGGAAGCCAGAGCAGAATCAAACAGCCTAATTACAGAAAACGTCAGCATCCGATCCTCGATCTTCCCTCGACGACGACGCCGACGCCGATGCCGACGACCCTAGAGGACCAAACCACAGCATAAACACAAACTGTCGGAGGTGCGCGCGGATTTCGTGGGTCTGCGCTGGACCCCCTCCCTGGCGCGCGGAGCGCGCCAGCAGCGGCGCCGGAGGCGCCGCCAGGAGGGCCAAGCCCGATCCAAGAAGCCCGCGCGGACCATCGAAAGTGTAAGGCAACTTCGTGTCGTACCGACTTCGTCGCTGGATCCTGACACCGCGGGGATCGTTCAACCTTGAACAATCGGCTGTTTTCGAAACGTCAGATCGTTCACCATCGACCGATTCCGGGTCGCCAGCGGCGTCCAACGTTGAACGCCGGCGGCGGGGTCGCCGCCGGTGGACAAGACGCGAACCCACCGTATGCTCATGCAGTTGTGCCTTCGAAGCTGAGTTGAACCCGAGTTGACTTGAGTCGGATCTGAGTCGAACAGATCCGCCAGGTGGGCCCCAGGAGCGCCCCCCGAACGAGCAGCTAAAAAGTTGATCTTTGCGCCGTTTTGCCCTGGCACGGCCCACGGGCCCCAGTGCCTTGAGCCAGCGGTGCCTGCCGTGCGCCCCGTCCTGCCGATGCCCGGGCACCGCCAGCTCGATGCCCGGGCATCAACGGACCGACGCCGATGCGCCCAGCTGCGTGCGTGAAGCCCCGGATGCATGCGGAAGCATGCACGTGCGGATGCCCAGGCAGCAGCACCGGCATGCCTGGGCGGCCGCCTGGGCATCCACCTGGGCGTCCGCAGGTGATGGCTGGGCGCAGAGTGAGCGGGCCGACCCAAGCTTTGCCCCCTTCGGCCCACGCCGCGGCCGCGCCTCCACCAGCGCCTCGGCCTCGGCGGCGTTCTCGAAGGAGTGGCCGCGCGCCTCTTTGGAGTCCCGACACGGTGCGGTGACAGACCGTGCGGCGACCTCGAAGCCCCCCAAGACCTCACCGCACGGTCAGTCACCGCACGGTCTTTACAACGACGCGAAGATCGGGACAAAATCGGATCGGGATAACTCGAAATCTCTGAGAATCGGCGGGTTTGCAGGATGTATTGGGCGCCGCGGCCGCTCCAGAGCGTTCCGGAACGCTCTGAGAGCGCTCCGGAACGCTCTGGAGCGATTTATCCCGATCCTAGCCCTGTTTTACCAGGACCTCACCGCACGGTCCGTCACCGCACGGTCTTGGGACCCCGGAGGCCCCCGTCGCCCGAGACAGCCTCGGAGAGCGGCCCGAGTCCCAAGACCGTGCGGCGACCCCGGATCGCCGCCGACTCGCCGCACGGCGTGGTCCCCCCCCCGTGTTCGGGGAGCCCCGAGCCTGCGGACCCCACGGCGGCGGGGGCGTCCGGAGGGAGTGCCGGCCAGCCGTGGGGGGAGAAGGGGGCGCCCCCGAGGCAGGCGGCTGGCCAGGGGGGGGCGTCGAGCGGGAGATCGACCACAGAATTGATGTATGCCAGCACTGCGCTGCCGCCGAACCGAGGAGAAAAGACTTGCGGCGTTTCCAGCTCTACGGACCTCCCACGTGTTTTTTCTCGCAGGGTCGGCGAAAAAGCACACATATGTTTGGGGGGTGAACCAGCATCGATCATGTATGTAGTCGCCTCCTACTCGGAGGGAGGATTACTTTTGGGTCGGTGGTCGCAAGGGCATCCAGCGGCGGTCGGTCAGGGCCCCGTAAACCTGGAGATGCTCGACCCGGACACCCAACATCCCTCGAAACAACTTTTTCCAGACGGCGGCACGAACAGAATACTGCACTGCAGCATTTCCAGAATAAACCTGGGCACAGGACCCAAAAGCCTGCAAGACCCGGACACGAACCCGAATCCTGCAATACGGCAAACAGAAGATTCACGGGTGCTGAAACATGTGACTTTGCAGGAAAGGGTGTCGTTTCCTTGGTTCTCCGTGTCCTGCTTTATACGAGGGGGGCATTGGATACGGAACCCTTGGACAAGGAATCCGGTGTCTGGAGGCCGGTGGAACTCCAATCGAAGGTTGGCCATGAGTATCACCGCCGCCCGCATCGAATAAAGACGCCTCCAGGGTCTGCAGCCTCCCGGGCGCATTCCTCAACGGACGCCCCCACCGTATGTGTCCTGGTCTCCCGGGGCCCGAGTCGGGCTACGGTGGGGCACGCCGGGCAGCAGAGTGGGGCACGACGGGGCCGGTGGAGGCGCGCGCGGGGTGCGGAGGGGAAAGAAGACCCACACGGAGTTAGACAAGCACGTTCCCCTACTCGCGAAGTAGCTGCTCGCAAACTGCCCGGATCCATTGCGTCCAGGCAGACAGGCTCCACTGCAGCGAACAGCGTGGCTTCTTGATGACGTTTGCGAGTCGGCACTTTGCGAGTGGGGTACCGCGCTCGGTGATGAACGGTGGCAATTGGCACCTTCAGGCACTGAGGTCAGAGTTGCGGAGGTCCGTTGCCACTTCTCCTTGCGGCCGTCTTTGTTGGCCGAGGGTCCGCACGGAGGGCCTTGGCCCCTCCTGCGCCTATCGAGCGCAAGCTGCATTGGCGCACTGGTGGGAGAGGCAGACCCAGTCAGCCCCTGTGATGGCAGCCGCGAGGGGGACCAGGCAGAAGGCCCAGGAGGAAGAATGGGAGCGCAGGACGGGGCGAGGAAAGAGGGAGGAGGAGATTCGGCTACACGCAAGAGTGACCCTAGGCAAGAGTGACCTCTTGTGCGCGGCTCAACGGAGGACGCGGGGTGGCCAAGCCTGGACGCGCAAGCTGTTGCTACCGCTTCGCGCTCCGCGATCGGAGGATCCCATTGGGCCCTCACCAGAGGTCACTCTGGCGAAGGGTGACTCTCGCCACGTCTACTCTAGCGGAACAAAAAATGGCATGAACATGACAACTCGGAGGCCCGCCCAGATTTCTCGGATCGGCGCTGGGCCCCCCTCCCTGGCGCGGATCCGAGAGATCCGCGCGGACCTCCGAGTTTTTATGTTTATGCCACTCTTCGAGGAGGGAGGAGGGAGGAGGGAGGAACTCGAGACCTCCCGAGCGCCTTCTCCCCGCACCCCGGCGCCACCGCCACGAAGGCCGCGCGCGCGGCGCCGCCGCCGGCACGCGCGGGCCACGCGAGGCCGAGCACGGGCGGCCACGTGGCCTCGGCGTCTGCCTCGGCCGCACGCCGCGCGCCGCTCGGCGGCACCGTCGGGGCGCCAGCGTCGTCGGCGTCGTCTTTCTCGTGGGCGTCGGTCGTCGGTGGCGTCGTTGGCGTGGTCCTCCTCCTCCTCCTCCTCCTCCTCCTCCTCCTCTCCTCCTCCTCCTCCTCCTTCCCCCCTCCCCCTCCTCCCCCTCCTCCCCCCTCCTCCTCCTCCTCCTCCTCCCTCCTCCTCCTCCTCCCCCTTCTCCTCCCCCCTCCTCCTCCTCCTCCTCCTCATCCTCCTCCTCCTCCTCCTCCTCCTCCTCCTCGTCCTCCTCCTCCTCCTCCTTCTCCTCCTCCTCCTCCCCCTCCTCAGGTCGCCTACGGCCCCGGGGGAAACCGTGCAACTTCCCCCCTCGCTCGCCACCGACGTTGGTCGTCTTTCTCGTCGGCGTCGGCGTCGGCGCCGGCGGCGTTACCAACGTCGGCGGCGACGCGGTCGGCGGCGTCGGCGGCAGAAGGACGGAGGCTGCCAGGCAGGAGGACGGGGGGCGTCCCACCAGCTGGGTGGCGGGAATGAGGGATCAGGTTTCGAAGCGGTTCCAGGCCGAGGTGTGTGCGTTGCGCACGTGTGTGTGTGTGTGCGTGTGTGTGTGTGTGTGTGTTTGTGTGCGCGTGTGTGTGTGTGTGCGTGTGTGCGTGTGTGCGTGTGTGCGTGTGCGCGTGCGTGCGTGCGTGCGTGTGTGCGTGTGTGCGTGTGTGCGTGTGTGCGTGTGTGCGTGTGTGCGTGTGCGCGTGTGCGCGTGTGCGTGTGCGTGTGCGTGTGCGTGCGCGTGCGCGTGCGCGTGTGCGTGTGTGTGTGTGTGTTTGCGTGCGTGCGTGCGTGCGTGCGTGCGTGCGTGCGTGCGTGCGTGTGTGCGTGTGTGTGTGTGTGTGTGTGCGCACGTGTGCGCACGCGTGTGTGTGTGTCAGTTTGTGCGTACGGATATATGTGTGTGTGCGTGCATGCGCAAGTGAGCAGGCATCGGCAAAGGTGGATCGTTGGCGTGTGTGAGCGTGCGCGAGCATCAACAGAGGTGGATGCTTGGCTCCGACAGAAGTCCCTTGGAAAATCGAATGGGGAAGTATGCATAAGGGCACGCAATGACCGCGTGACCGACGATGACCTCCAAGCGAAACTGAGATGACCTCATGGCCCAACATGATCCCGACGAGGCATCTTTAGTCTCAGGCAACCTATGCCATAACCCGTCTGATGATCGGCGGGCGATGCCGAGACGGCCCCAAGGCCAGAAGATGGACCCGCGCACATCAAGGGCTACTCCGAAACTGACCGAGCGACGCCCGCACAATCCAAACACGAAACGAGTGCGATCTGAAAACGACCTGACAACAACTCCACGACGCACCCAGTCTCGTTCGCAAATCGACGCAGTGCGCGGTCCCGCGACCTGCATATCATGCAAAGTCAATCTCAAGATGACCCAACAGGACTTCAAGAGGCCCTGACGAGGGGCCCGCGGCGACAGGACGGCGCGCGCATCGCCTGAAGATGGCAACCAGACGGCCCCACCACAGCAGAAGTCCGTGAACTTATGAGTCCCAACTTGCTTCCAACCGATCCCAACACGGCGGGATCCCTCAAGAGCCCGGGACTTTGAATCAAATTAATCCGGTTGAGAGGGACCGAGCTCGGCGGGTTTCCGCCCGACCCAGGAATGAAGACAACCTGTCTAGGCTTCTACGGGGGCAAAAGTTTCGGAAGGCGCACTGTTACTACCGCCAATTTCTGCCGCCCTCGCAATACGTCTGCCGTCTTCCGCGCGGCGAGCGCTACCATTAAATTCAAGGAGCTTGGTCATTGCACCCGCCTTATTGCATGCCGCTGGCTACCAACCACTGGCACGTCGGAGAAAAGGTGTGTATGTGTATGTGTATGTGCGTGTGCGTGTGCGTGTGCGTGTGCGTGCCGTTGCGCGTGCGCGTGCGCGTGCGCGTGCGCGTGCGTGAGCGTATGCGTATGCGCGTGCGCATGTGCGTGTGCGTGTGCGTGTGCGTGTGCGTGTGCGTGTGCGTGTGCGTTTGCGTGTGCGTGTGCGTGTGCGTGTGCATGTGCGTGTGCGTGTACGTGTGCGTGTGCGTGTCCGTGTGCGTATGTGTGTGCGCGTGTGTGCGTGCGCGTGTGTGTGTATGTGTATGTGTGTCGATGTGAGTGTGTGGTGTGTGCACGTGTGCGTCTGTCAACGTTTGTGTGCGAACGTGTGTGTGTGTGTGTGTGCGTCTGTGTGTGTGTATGTGTGTGTGTGTCTGTGTGTGTGTGCGTGTGTGTGTGTGTGTCGGGCCATCAAGAGCGCACGTCCAGCAGCATTAGAGCAACTGACCGTGGCCTGTGCCAACGGGCCCACATGGGCCGCTTAGGAGCCTCTGGGCAGGACCAGAAACACAAAGCAGGCAATCCCCAGATTACCGAAGCAAGGCGCCACCGAACCCCTCGGAGGCCAGGGTCGAGGACGAGAAAATACTCCCACCACGACAGGAAACCTACAGGGCATTGCCCGTGTAAGGATTCAGGCCTTTAAGAAGCCTGTCCCGACGGCGAGCCCTCTCACGGAGGGCAGGGGGGGTGCACTGGCTCGGTGCAGGCAATGGTCCCGTGCACTCGACCAGCAGCCCTCTCGCCTGCTGCTTGCCCGAGAGACAGCCGCATCTCCGACAGACGGTGAACGGCGGAGCGGAAACAAGCTCATGTCCCCGCTCGTGGACGACACCCGTCCCACCACCCGTGCCCCCGCCTCCCTCCTCGGCGGCCGCGGCGACGGCGGCACGGCCGCGGGCTGCCTGGCCCCGCACCCGCGGGGCTCTCGGCGCCGCAGGGGGCGCCGTCGGTGGCGGGGGCGCCGCCAGCTCCGCCGTCGGCGGGGTGGGGCTGCTCGCCCACGTTCGCATCGGACCGTCCCCCACCCTCCCAACCTCCACGCACGTCGTCTCGCCCTCCCTGCCTTCTCCTTCCTCAAGGTCCTCCAGGGGGGCCTCCAGCAAACCTCCCGAGAGGGACACAGGGGTGGAGGGCAGGTGGGCAGAGGCGGTGGCAGCAGGTGTGCCCCCAGCAGCACTGAGGAGACGGGCAGCGATTCGATCCCGACGATCCTCGTCGGAAAGGCCAGTCTCGGGGCGCACTGAGGGGGTGGCCTCGTCGGCCGAAGCCCACATGCCTCCGATTGGGGTCGAGGGCTCGGTGACCACAGCACGAACGCGAGCGGATCGATCTAGCCTGAAAAACGCATGGGCCGATTGCGTGCCTTCGAGCCTGCTGCGAGACCTGAGCGGAGCCTCCGAGGGGGAAGGGCCGTCAACTTGCCGCCTCGGCGAGCGGCTGCCTCCCCCGCCAGGGTCAGGCTCAACTCTCTCTGACGGGGTCGACGCAGCGGCGGCGGCGGCAGCGGCGGCCAGGGCAAGGGCGACCGCAGGGGAGGGGCGAGGAGGTGCAGGGCTGACCCCCTCGGCCTGAAGGGCCGCCTGGGCACGGAGCCTGGCCAGGTGAGACGGCACGCATGGGTAGGATTCAAGGCACCGTCTGGTCTCTGCCGTGCGTGCAACACGGTTACAAGCCAGGCAACGGACCCCTCCTCCAGGGAGCTCTGCAAACTCGTGTGCAACAAACGCAAGCAGCCTGGGCGCCGTGACGGGCGGGGGGGGCCTCGGGTCGGCCTCCGTGGGGTCCCAAACCCCCGATCTAGCCACACGAGCAGCCGCCCAGGCCACGAATTTAGCATTAAGGCAGGCCTCTTCCATACGAACCTGGATGTTACGAACGAGGCCTTTAGCTGGGCTGGCTAAGTCAAGGGCAACACTAGCAAACAGATCAGCCCAGCTATTTCCAAGCCAATCCTGGAGATCAAGATTAAGCTCAATAGCCTGGTCCAGGGGTTTATGCGAGGGAATCCATTCAAACGAGGGCGGCCTCCTGTCTTGGCGGGCCACAATGGCGCGTAGCGCTCTCCAGAGTGCAGCGTGACGGGCCGAAGCGGACGCGCCCCCAGGGCTCCACCGTTGCCCTTCCTCCACGAAACTTAAATGATCAGAAATCAAACCCGAAACCTGTTGGGAAAGGCAGGTGGCGACGAGCCCAGCATATCTCTCAGCCCTCGCCACTGTCTGCAAACCTGGGAGAGAGCCGAAAATCGCCTTACAGGGCCAGCCGTCGTCTCGCAACTGTACTACGGCCCAGGAGCATCGAGCGATCTCAGGAGTGTCCATGCCGAAACCGCCGCCATCGATATACAACCTACCGCCCCACGGAATCTCGGCATCTCCCCAATGGTGCACGAAATCGGGGCACATGGGAGGCATCTCAGAGGCGGGAGGCTGCAGCGGGATAGCATAGGCAAACTGCAAGGCCTCATGTGGGTCATCCTGGGCCGACTCCCACGCAAGGCGATCGAGCCGCTCACGGGTCTTAAGAATCACTTCGGGCGGGTCCGTCTCGTGAAGGGCAGGGTCCAGGAGGGCGGGGCATTTGTACAGACGGTGGCCATTCGTCTCACGTTCAGCACCGCAGGCTAGGCACCTACCACTGTCAATCAAACGCTTCTCATACTTTTTCTGCCGAGGCCACATCGCATCAGTCCAGACGCACTGCAGCGAGCCTCGTTCGGAAGGGTCCCGAACCGCCTTCTCCACGCACCGCCTGATGCCGCGATGCCAGAACCGCTCGCCATTGTGAATCTCTATGTGGTTCTCTGCGCGCGCTAGCAGCCAGCGCGTGACACCCTGGACGACGTGGTCGCGAACACCTCTAGGCGCCATCTGATTCAGGTCGAGGACGGTGCCAAGGTCGGACGCGAAGGTGGTCGCCGAACTAAATCGCCAACCGATCCGATGCAAGGTAAGCCACAGGGCCCCGAGGGGGCCGCGCACTCGGCTCCAGCTGGGCTGTGCGCTCATCTGCCCGTTGACGAAGTCCCACGTGCCACTGAGAGCTTGCATTTCCACCCGGCCTTCCCACAACATGCTTGCATACATGAAAACGATGC